CCTCTGCCTCGTGCCCAGGGGAGCCCAGCTCTGGCTTGGTTCCTGAAAAAACAAGGGATGGTCAGCTGATTTGGCTGGTGCTGCTGGTGGGCAGGGCGAGAGCTTCAGCTCCAACAAGGTGACATTTAAATGCAGTTTCAAACCAGTGCTCCTGAAAAATTTTACCATCCAACACACACATATCTCCTTTGTTCCTTCCTATTTATTACATACTCCTGTCTATTGCACAGATATTGCATTGTTTTCATTTATAGTCCCAAAGAAAGTAAGTTTTAATCCTGACAACCCTTATGTCACGCTAGGCCTCCAGTAGGAGTAAATACCAAGGAATACATAAATAATCCATATGGTGTGCCAGCCACAGAAGCAGGTCATTTGTGAAATACAGCAATTTCTATAAGTACATTTCAAGAGAAATCCTAGTGTTTAGATTTATCATTTCTTCTAACTACCTCCTGATAACTGTTTTGAGGGTTTTTTAGCATTACTTAAAGTCAGCTCTTGGGCAGGTTTGGAACTCACAAAGGGATGGAGTTACACTGTTTGAAACTGTATGGCCATAGACTTCAGAACTACCTTTCTTTTTCTTCCTGCAATATTCCTGACAAATTGTTTTGCAAGGTGTTATGTTGATATTTAGATTAGTAGTAGCTGCCTTTTAACCACATGGCTGAAAGGACCATAACATAAAGGAGCTTCTATGTATAACCACCACTAAAAAAAAAAACAAACCTGAAACTGAGTGTGTGGACACCTTTATATCTATCTTTCTAATGGTAATTTTGGAAGCTATGAAAGCTACTGAACTGTGCAAATCCTTATTAATGTAGTTGTTAAGATTAGTACTCCATGCTAAGATTTGTACTTCATGCTTTTAATATCAAAAAAAATCTGAAAGAATAAAAGTGATGTGAAATCTTCTTTCTCACCTCTCCTCTTTGTGGTTGCCTCGGTCCTGCTGTGCCCCAGACTCAGACGCTCACTTGACATTTCTCTCCTTACCCCCAGCACTGCAACTGTGTCTTTAAATATCCTTTCAGTGTTATTTTTCTAGTCAGTTCAATAACACTGAACTGAACGCTTTTGGGTTTATAGTGACCAGCACACACATGAGTGCGTTTAAAGAGAAGGTTGGCATGAACTTAACTTCAGTGAGGATCCCAGCACTCGTGTATTTGGATAAAAACGTACGTATAGCTGGACTAGGACTGTCTTTTTAGCACGCAATAGTGCACTGACAGAAAACAGCCGGTGTGACGTCTAGGGTCAAAGGCAACAAATACATAATTCCAAAACACAGCCCCGGCGCGGCCCTGAGGGGGGCGCCGGCTCTGAGGGGTCGGGCCCGGCAGCCCCGGGAGGCGGGACACGTGCAGCCCCGCCCATCCGGCGTGGTCCTCTCTCTCAAACAGCGCTGATTGGCGTTTCCTCCGACCAATCCGATGGGAGACCGTCGGCCGGCAGGGCGGAGTGGCAGCACAGCCGGCCAATAGGGGCTCTGCCGCGCCGTGGGCGTTCCCGAGGGCGGTAGCAGGGCGGTGGCGGCAGCAAGATGGCGGTGGCGGGCAAGGGAGCGGTGTCGGCCGCGGTGAAGCCGATCTTCAGCCGGGACCTGGGCGAGGCGAAGCGGCGAGTCAGGGAGCTGTACCGGGCGTGGTACCGCGAGGTGCCCAACACGGGTGGGTGAGGGGCGCGGAGCTTGCCGCGCGTGCTCAAGGTCGGAACGGCCTTAATGACATTGGTGAAACCAGCGGGCTGCGCATGAACGAGCGGCCGGGTAGCGTTTTGGAGGGTTGAGTTGAACGCCGCCGGTGGGAAAAACGCGAAGCGATGTGGATGACCGCAGTGGGTGTTGTGTTTCTTGTAGTGCACCTGTACCAGCTGGACATCACGGTGAAACAGGGGCGTAACAAGGTGCGGGAGATGTTCATGAAGAACGCCCACATTAGGGATCCACGGGTGATAGACATGCTGGTTATTAAGGTACAAACAGTTAGGGCTATGGAGGGGTTGTCTCTTGCAGTCGTATTGGTTTACCTATGTCAGGAAACCTGTTGATCAGGAATCATGCTGCTTTAGCAAGCAAAGGAACAGTGTCTTAATGCATCTAAGTCCCAGTGGCTTGAATACAGATTTCTGTCACTCAGGGCACTGGTTCTGGTTTGCAGATCTTTAAATGAGCCACAGTAACTGACCTCTGCAGTTCTAATGCATTAGAAAGCTTCCAACCAAGGACTGCCATGCTCACCTGTTATATTTCATGCATTTCAAGACAGTTAGTCTGTCTTTACATGATGAAAAAAATCTGGAAATAGAATCCGAAGTAGTACGGTTGATAACAATTCCAGGCAGTCTCATTTTACTCTGTGCTGCCATCCTACAAAACCAGTACAATAGAGTGGAGTCATGAAGAAGTTAAGTTTAATATCTCTGTGGCACTGATACTGGTGCTAAGCACTTGGCAGTAGTTCTGCTTAGTTTTACAGGTAATGTGCTGCTATTCAAACAAATTCAATAGAGGTACTTAAAAATTAGGAATGTTATATAAAATTTTATGGGAGGTGCTGGTCATGAGAGAAACAATGCAGCTTTTAAGAAGGAGGCAAGATCCTTTGCCTGTTTCACAGGGCTGGGAAGCTATGCTGCAGAGACATCAAGTCACAAGGCAGAAACAGTATATTTGTATCACAGTGTAGGTGATACAAGCAGTCTGTAGGAGTACAGAACTGCTGATGCAGCTATTTTTTACTTAGGTGTTTCTAAGTGCATTCAAATAACTTTCATGCTGCTGTAAGGTTAGACTTGGGCTCTAACTGAGAACTGGTCTAAAATTCTTTTGTCTGTGCTCAGGGGAAAATGGAGCTTCAAGAAACCATTCATGTATGGAAGCAGAGGACTCACGTCATGAGGTATTTCCATGAGACGGAAACCCCGCAACCTAAAGACTTTCTGTCCAAATTCTATGCGGGCCACGATCCCTGAGAGATTGACTCTGTGTCTTCCTGCCTTATATTACAAATAAAGTTCTGTACAATAGAAAAAAAAACATACAGAGAGATTGTGTAACATATTAGGAGTCTAAGGCCTAGCTGAATCCAGAGTGTGTGAAGTGATTGTGATGTTTGAAGAGCTGTGATTTCACGGTTTTGCCAGTATGTATTTTCAGTGGGCAGCGTTTGTCCCGTCAACTGCCCTGGGGTGTCTGCTGAATAACCACAACACAACCTAGCTGTGGGGCTTTGTGCTTGGCCTGCAGCCCTGTCTGTATGTGTTAGCTCCGTGGAGGAAAGAGCAGGTCTTCAGTAGTCACAGAAATACTCTTGTGCTTGAGACCTATCCGTATTCATGTAGTGTCTTGCAGTTTCATGCTGTGACTTTGTTGACCTGCTGTTTTTCACTTGGACACTAGTCTCTGTTTACCTCCTCAGAGAATACATGAAATCCAATAGGCAAATAAATCCCTTTGTGCATAAAGACATCAGCAGATTCCATTTCCCTGCTGTAAAATGAAATTACCTGGAAAAATGGGGGGTTGTACTGTTATCTAGAATAGGAAGGCTCTGTAGGAACTTCTGATGCCTAGCAGGAGTTGGTGTCCTACCATCACCTTCTTAATTGAATCAGGAATTACTAGCTCCCTTTTGAGAAGGGTAAGGAGAATTTGTTCTGTCACCAGTCAGAACAGATTTTCAGGAGGTAACTCGGTGCTGGAGCTCCCCCAGGTGTGACCAGTATCGGATCTTTGTAGTGCACTCAGACTTGTTTTTATCCTGCCTAAATACTGGGGCTTTCTTCCCCATATGAAGACTGTAACAGCACTCCTCAGGGATGTGTATGTAAGTGTACCTTGGTGCTTCAGGGGTGGCATGTTTTTAAGGACAGGGTTGAGAGAGTCATAAGGGGCCAGAAGAGATCATGGGATAAAGCAGCGATAAGGAATCTAGCAGCATAGAAGACAGGAGTGGGTACATGTTTGGCTCCCAAGAGCAGATGAACTGGAACAACCACTTCTCAGGTGGCTTGGGGAAGGAGGGGGCAACTCAGATACCAAGTGACTCAAGAACCTGACAGCTCCCTTCAGCTACAGCTGTTGGGGTTACTCAGATTGCAGGCTCCCTTTTCTCTCTGTAGTTATGCTGGAGAGTTACAAAGCAAACATCCAAAGCTGTGCCAAAGAAGAAGGGAGCAAGTGTGGCTGTTTGAACTATACACTGTGCCAATGTGTGCGACATTACATTAAGTGAAACTTTTTAACAGTGACATGAATAAGGAAGGAAAAAGCGGGCAGTTAAGATACAAAGCCAGAGCTAATGACCAGAAACCACAAGAGAGACACTGGCTTAAGAAAAATAAATAACTGACTAACCTTTCAAGGTTGAGAAAACAGCTGGTCTGATGTGACTAAAGATGCTCTTTATGTGCCCTAGCAGCAGAGAAGATCTTTTAAGTCTGTTATGGCAGGATTTAAATGCAATAGTAAACACTTCTATGAAAAGAGGACTTGAGGTTTATACACCATTATGACAACAAATATATTAGGGCTCATTCAGAAGGAAGTACCGAACTACCTACGAAATATTAGGTACATGGAGCCAGTGTTCAGACATTTTTTTCAGTGTTCAGAGATTAAATGCTACAAAACACATCAGCAAGTTAGTTTGCCATTTGCGATCTTAGCCTTTTACCAAATGTACGCAAACTTTTAACTCTGTGATGATAATACTGTATTTAATATTCAGTGAGGTGATATTAATGACACAGTCTTGTCACCTGCCAGGTTGCTGAACCGCAGTGCCACTGTTGATGTGCACTTCATTCTTTAATGGGGCTGTGTTGTGGGGCTGCTGCTTCCCCTGGGGAAAAGGGCTCACATAGAGGACTCACAAGAGGAAATAAATATGAGGAGAGCCTCCTTACTGGAACAGACAGACAGAGGAGAAAGGTTAAGAAAAATGCTAGTACACAGGCACATAATGAATAAAAACACAAGACCAAAGTCATACATCTCAATCTCTTGATCTTTAATTAAGTGTTTCCCATATTGCTAATTCAAGGCATCCAAGCAGTCTTTGATGAGGTGAGCGTGTGCAAGGGCTGCAAGGATGCAGTGCTCTTCCTTCAACCCTGATCTACAGATTTCCCTCATGCGTAGGACGCTCACTGGCAAAAGGGGGAAAAGCCCCCTGTCCCGTTTAGGAAGGACAAAACACAGGTGATAGATGTTGGAATCATTGCTTTGTCAATGGCTTTCTCCCTTCTGTTCTTCCCTTACCGTGCTGCAAATAAAATAACAAGCTGTTATTCTTTAGAAACACTCCTCCCAAAATCACACAAGGTGGGGTTTAGGTAAAGGGAGTTTCCAACTGGCCACTGCAGTGTTTACAATCTTTTAAGTCTTTGTTTTTAGCTGCACAGTGCATGCTGGAAAACACCCTTATCAAGTGGAGTACATCCACCAAACCGGTTACAAAGCAACACTGTTTACAATAACATCTTTAAAACAGTTTCTTTGTTCTATAAAGAATCAAATACACCCAAAGTCAAATCTTTACAAAAGGGCAAGCCAAACAGAATAACATAAAATGGTAGAAAGTGTAGCGTAGCGCAGACAAAGGTGAATTATTTCGACTCTTTCTTTCTCCAATGAGTCTGAGTGATCCAACTACTCAGAGATCAATGTTGTAACACCCACCAGACAGTTTGTTCTGATGGGTTCTGGAATTCTCTTAAATTGTTCACCTATGTCAGAGTTTCAGACAATAAGTGACTCTCTTTTAAAATAGTCATTCTGTGAGTTAGCAAAAAGCTTTTAAACAAGTAAACAAGTAGAACAAATTCATAGAATCATTTAGGTTGGAAAAGACCTTCAAGTTCATTGAGTCCAATTGTTAGCCCAGCACTGCCATGTCCACTGCTAAACCATGTCCCTAAGTGCCACATCTACACATCATTTAAATACCGTGAGGGAGCGTGACACAACCACTTCCCTGGGCAGCCTGTTCCAATGCTGTACAAACCTTTCAGTGAGGAAATGTTTCCTAATATCCAATCTAAACCTCCCCTGGCACAACCTAATGCCATTTCCTCTTGTCCTATCGCTTGTTACTTGGGAGAACAGACCAACACCCACCTTATTACAACCTCCTTTCAGGTAGTTGTAGAGAGCAATAAGATGTCCCCTGAGTCTCCTTTTCTCCAGGCTAAACACCCCCAGCTCCCTTAGCTGCTCCTTATAAGACTTGTGTTCCAGCCGCTTCACCAGCTCTGTTGCCCTTCTTTGCATGCATAATGTAGTAACACTGAAGTCCCTCTGTTCTTTCTGCAGTATAGAGCCTCACTGACTACAGTTTATTTCTGATTCAACTGACAAGATCTAAAACTCCATCAGTTTACTTTGATTTCTAGTGAATGTATGGTGTGAAGATTTCACACATACCAGTCTGGCCTACTCTGGTATAAAAGAACAAAAAAGTTCATAGCCAAAGGCAAATCCATGTCCGTGTGTTTAACTGCAAATGTACCTTTCGAGCTGTTGCTTTCTGTATTTCCTTATCTGAGATTCTCCTCCCTGCCTCAAGCCAAACGGGAAGCACAAATAATTAGATTGACGGTGCAGTTAGTGACATACCCTTTAATCATCATCATCGTCATCCTCTGGGACAAAGATATCGTGTTCTTCAAGTAAGGCTGCGAAGTTCTTACTGATCTGAGTACCAACATAGAGGAAAGGGATCACGACGCTGAACACTCTGAGGAGGCCGAAGGGCGTCTGCAAGGAGTCGATTGGAAAAGGTGGATCTTTACCAGCAAGTGGCACTTCGGCTGAACCGGCACACTCGTGGCTCCGCAGGCCCGCGGAGGGCCCGGGAAGCGGCGGGAGGAACGCTTTGCCGTCCCTAGTGCCAACCCCCTGTCACCGCATCGCGCTTTATTAGAGTACTATAGTATTATAAACATTCCAACGCAGGGGAGCTGGAACCCCCGGGGAGTCCGGGGCAGGGAACACCCGTGGCTTAGCAAGGGGAGCAGTCGCCGGTGGCAGAGGGTGTATGCAGGCGGGTGTTGATCTCCGCCTTACTGCCCACCGAGCACCGCCGGGCCAGCGCCGCCCCTCTCGGTGGAACACGGGGGGACACGGTCCGAGCCAGCACCGGCCCGCTCGGGGGCACCCTCCCGCTGCCGACCTTCCGTGTGCCCGCCCCGCCTACAGGCCCTCCCCTCATTGGCCCAGGCTCTGTCACTCACCGCCCCGCCCCGCCCACAGCAGCTGCGCCCGCACCGATTGGCCACCGCTGCCGTCCGTTGCCGCTCCCACCCGCTCGCCCCTCACTCACCTTAACCGGCTTGGGCAAAATGGCGCCGCTGCGGGTGACGGTGGCGCTTCGGGAGGGCACCAGGGAGACGGCCGAGACGCCGCGCGGCCCGCCCCAGCCCGCCCGCCCCGAGCGAGCCGCCGCCAGGAGCCGCCCGGCTGCCGCCATCGTCCCGCCTGCCCTGAGCCGCGACCCAGCCCGGGCGTCACCCGGGGTCTCGCGAGGCTTGAGAATAGGCGACGAGAGAGGCGGTGCGCGAGGCGGGGCCGCGCCCCCTTCCCCGGGCGGGCGGCGCCCCCGGTGGCCGGGAGGAGAGAAGGAAGCGGGCAGCCTCCCACCCCTTCCGATAGGGCTCCACCGGGAAAACCGCGCCGGGTGGGAATGCCCAGGCCCTGCAGACACTCCCGGGAGGTCTCACGGCTCCACTGGCAGCGCACGGGCTACAAATCAAACCGGTTTATTCAGCATAAAATACAAACGCTGAACAACGTAAATGAGATTCGTAATACAAGTTCCGCGTGTAAAACAAACGCTAACAAAGTAATGAAATGTATAATACAAGTTCCGCGTGTAAAACAAAGGCGCATGCAAAACCGCCTCCTAAAAAATAGAACACGCCGTCCTACCTAAAATAGAAGCCCTTGGGAAGGCGGGAGTGGCCCCGCGGGTTGCTCGTAGTGTTGCCAGATAATTGTGCGGATAGAACGCAATTGGTGGTGCCGAGAAGCCCCGGACAGGGGAACTCCACGTGCATTTCAGTGGGGATTCTTTAAGCTGCTCTGCAAAGGCAGTCGAGAGAGGTTAAGATGGAGGAGTCACTCCCCGCCCCCCAAAATTAATGCAGTAGCTACTGTAACAGAAAATGTCTGATCCCGGTCAGGATTGTCCACCAAATGGCAAGCAGTGGCCACGAGGAAAACCTTCAGGTTACTCTTGCTGCTAGGACCTGGATTCAGCGGAAAACATCAACACAGTTGAACAAAAAAGACATGCAGAAATAATACATCATGGGTTTAAATCTTAAATGCCAGCCTCAGAAAAAAATTTAAGGATTTAGTCAAGTATTTTAGCAAGATTGGGAGCCCTTCTCACCATAGCTTACAAAGGCCATGATAGATTTGCTCTCCCTCTTTCAGTCTTCTTTTAAATTTTAGCATTTTTCTCTCATTGCTTTTGCATTATTACGCTAAAGAAAACTCTTAGAAAAGGATCTTAAATTCAGTACCTTAAGAAAAGTACCCATTTGGTTTTAGCTTTTCCTCCTATGCCAAGGAACCTCTTTTGTGCAGCCCAGACATTCTCTATTTTTAAAAATTAATGAGGGAAAGTGGAAGCAGGAGGTGAAACAGTCCAAACCTGAATGGCTGGAGAAAAACCCATGTGTGGCAATTAGTCTTATTTTGCTGCCAGGGACAATGTGCAGAGAAAACTCTCTGCCTTTCCTGTAATGATGTCTGCCTGCAGACAGACAGGATGCTCCATTAGCCAGCTGCATGTGCTACTTCAGGAACCTGAAATCCCAACCTTCAGCCTGCAGGCTGCTTCAAAGACTCTACCAGCACAACCAATTCTCAGCTGGGCTGGTTTGATAGTCTCCATCTCTGAGGAGGCAGAGGGGCACCCAGATGCTTCCTGCCTAATGAAGCAAGCAGCAATGGTCATTAAAAAAACCCTGTACTCCCATACAAATTTGGGCATGACTCCAATTATGGCTCTTTTTACTCAGAAAAGGGCCAACTTTGCTATGAGAGCGGAATAGTGAGGAAGCCCTGATCAAGTGCATCCAAAGTCACACAGCGCTTTGGAAACCTAGCAAAGGCCCATGGACAGCTGGGCTGAGCACAAATGCAGATCAGGATTCAGCCATTTTCTTGGAAGTGCTGCAGAATAAGACACAAAATTACTCCAAATGCGATTAGACAGAAAGCAGAGCGCAGCGCCTCATTTGCAGGATTTAGGATTTAGCTGGGATATGTGCTAATGCAAAGGTAGGTAGCGCGGAAATTGTGCCATTTGAATGGGACAGATTAAAGCATTAAATATAAGCTCTTTAGTAGTGTTATGAGTACAATCCTGGCTTATTAAAACAAACTTGGCTTCTTAAAAGTGAAACTGCCCTTAAATGAATAATACTGTTTCAGTCCCAGTTCTGACAGAACTGGCTTTGTTAATTTATTTTCTTTTTTAAGTTGTTCCCAATTCTTGGATCTCTTGTAGGAACTGCCACTACATTTGACTGGTTTCAGAAGTTAAATCTTTACCGTCGAACCGCCTTATGTAAGTCTGAGACATCGGAAATATTTTTCTCTCTGTATTACATTTTTAAAAAATAACCACAGGAAAATGCTTGACAAATTTGACCTTGGCCCCAAAATACCCACGCTCAGAGCAAAGAGGCACTAGGTAGCGTGATTCCCTGATGCTGCTGCCCTGGCATGGGGAAGGGAACGAGTTCGCAGCCAGGAATGCTGCAGTACTGAGCTCTTCAAGCGACAGGTAGGGAGGCAGAACTAACCCCTCTGTCCAACCAACTGGGCTGCTGACAGAGCCTGGGCCCTGACCCATGGCCACCCGCTCCTGCTTTTTCTGAACTATTTTCACTTAAAAACAGAACAAAAATAATCCTCCCAAACCTGAAGATCCTTACTGTGAAGAAATACAGGCACAAACTGGAGAGGACTGGATGGCATCACTGGTAAGTGAAGGTTACACTGTCACTGGCCGAAGTCATATTGCTAAGATCTGATTTAAGATTTCCTCTAATACACCACTGAGCCATAATTAGGCAGGAGGCTGGAAGCTCATCATCCAAAACTACCAGAAATTTATATTTTCAAAGTCACCAAGAGTTAATGGAATTAATTTGATTTCTGCACTGGCATTCTCTACTGGCTATTGCAAAGTGTAAAGTTGAGTGCATTTAACTCCAGAAAAGCAAAATAGGTTCCAGCCAGTCATGACCTGGAATGGCCTTTTGCTTTCCCAGCAAGGGTCCTTAATAAAACAGGGCAATAAAACCAGGTTTTTCCATTTTTAGATAGGAAGCACATGACTACTTCACATATATTTTTTAATCTGAAAAACAGCCCTTGTCAAGAGGATAAGGGAGATTTATAAACCCCAACTCCAGGGTGTTCTAGCCCCTGGACTTGGCATCCACCTACTTGTACCGTCTGCCTTGTGGCCAAGGTTTCTGACCTACTGATGGACAAGTCTGTTTCTGCAGTGAGGTGACAGGCATGCCTCCCTGCAGCCCTCCCAGCCCGCTGGGAAGATGGGATGTGCTACAGGAATCAGCCAAGCAATGCAGAGATGAAGTCAGAGGGAAGCACAGGCAGGCCAAGTGCTGGCTTGGTAGAAAGCAGCGATATGGCTTCGATGCTAGAGAGGCAAGCCCAGACACCGCCAACACACAGTCACTGCTACCTGTAAATCACTCCCACACCTTCTCATTTCCTCCTGAGACCAGCTCTCTCCTCTTCCCTGCTCCTCCAAAGCCTCTCCTCTGACTGTGCAGGGCTGCCAGGAGTTGGGCAGAGCCACAACAGTGAGAGGCCCAGCAAGGGTGTGGCTCTGGACACCCTCTTGGGCAAGCAGCCTAATGAGCTGACTGAGCCCTATAGGGCACTTTGCAGGAGCTGTGGTCTGAACAAAGGCTGAGAAATTTACTCTTGGCCAGGTGAAAAGGCTTTAGCATCCCTGTTTTGGAACAGGGAAAGCTTGAGCCCAAAATAGTAACAGGCTTGGTTACCACTTGACAGAGTCCAGATAAGCCCTGGGGAGCTCCTGGTCCTCGCTGTTGCTTCAGGCCATGCTCTGTGTCTCCATTTCAGCCCTGTTGCTGAGCATGAGCACACAAAGAGACAGAGGCAAGCCCGTGATATCCACATCCTGAAGAATTTAGCTGGAAGACGGGTCAGTGCAGAAGTAAAGAAAAGTAAAAAAAAAAAAAGACAATGCAAGAGCCCCAGCTCCTGGGCCAGCCACAGCTGCAGTGGCTCACACATGTCCTGTGGTGAGAGAGGCACAAGGCTGGAGGCACACGCCAGGGCCAGTGGCCCGTTGGAGGCACTTCATAAGAGCCCAGCCTTATCTGCAGCAAAAGAACAAAAGCAGAAGGACTTTGGCGCAAGACCACAGATAATAATAAATGCTGACCTGTGCAAACTTCCACGCTGAGAAACAAAACCAAAACAAAGCAGTGAAGGAGAGGTGGGTGATGAAGCATGGCCGCCAGGACAGCAAGGGGCCAAGCCTTTTGGCTGAGGTTCGTTGCATACGTGCTGATTTGGGCCCCCTCCACACCTCGTATCACCAGCAGAGGAGAGTTCAGAGGTGGCTCTCCTGGTATTACACACTCCGGCTGTACAAAGCCTCATGGAAGAGAAATGTGAGGTTTGGGGAAGACTCGGATCCCTCCCACACATCCTGTGAAGCATACACACACTGCACACTCAGCCACTGAGTCCCTTGCTCTGCTCTTCCCATGTGGGAGACAGGCTGACAGGCATCAGCTGGCTGGTGACTTGCGTCCTGCGCCCTCAGTCACAGGTGTCCCCTCTTCTGCCTCTCCTGCCACTCTCGTCTCAGCGCCACGATCTCCTGCCCATACCAGTTGTGCAGCTTGGAGAAACAGATCGTGCCTGGTGACACTGGGCTCTCCAGCATGGCTGGTGACAGGTTGGGTGCTGGGGACCCTGTGGCGCTGCCAGTGGCCGAGCGCCGGCGAGGAGGCAGGGGTGGGGGTTTTGCTTGCCCCCCATCATGGTCAGGGCAGGCAGCCCCACTGGGGATACAACCACCACTACCCCATGTGGAGTAACCGTTCTCCAGGATGGAGGGCTTCTCCTGGAGAGGCAGCAAGGCCGGGTTGGAGAGATGCCTCTTCCTGCCAGAGGAGGAGGACCTCCGTGGAGACTTGCGGCAAGCGGCCAAGCTCTTGCAAGCCTCCTCCAGCTGCTTCTCCAGCTCCTTTACCACCAGCCGCATGTAGTCGAAGCTGGCCCGCGAAAGTGCCTTCACCCAGGCCTCCATGGTAGCCTGCCCGTCAGCCACCAGCACATAAGCCCTGGCGCCAGCATCGTCAAAGCGGATGGCAAAGGCGAACTCCTCAGCAGCCTCACACAGCTCCACGGTGCAGCCCTCCAGGACCACCAGCCCCACAGGCTCACGGCTCTCCCGCTCCTCGAAGTAGAAGAGGAGATTGCCCTTGAGGACAAACCA